CAAACACCTTTCACAAAGTGATCACTCCATATCTGATCTTTCAATATTTGTCATCAAGGGAAACCTGCACAACATCTTCAAAAGGCAAGCCTGGGAACTTAGTCATAACTCTGCTAGACATCAAAAACCATGGATTTAACTGGTTTAATGGCTCATTACAACAATTTGTAAAATTCCACACTGCCTGATACCCTTAATTCCCCACTTCAAATCCTTTGTACATAACAATCTAACCCTCAATTGCCCATTTCATTTCAAGTGATCACCTGTAATGTTACCCCTTCTGCTTAACTGTCTGTGCCATCTTGTATTTAGCTCAGACACTCTGCTACCTTTCCCAGACCTGAAAAAGAGTTATGTGACCTCCAAAGGGTTGTACCTAGGGAGACCAGATGTCCCGATTTTATAGGGGCAGTCTCATAGACTTTAAGGTCAGAAGGGACCATTATGATCATCTAGTCTGACCTCCTGCACAACGCAGGCCACGGAATCTCACCCATCCACTCCCGTAATAAACCCCTAACATATGTCTGAGCTATTGAAGTCCTCAAATTATGGTTTAAAGACTTCAAGGTTCAGAGAATCCTCCAGCAAGTGACCTGTGCCCCACACTGCAGAGGAAGGCGAAAACCCCCCAGGGCCTCTGCCAATCTGCCCTGGAGGAAAATTCCTTCCCAACCCCAAATATGGCGATCAGCTAAACCCTGAACATATGGGCAAGACTCACCAGCCAGACACCCAGGAAAGAATTCTCTATAGTAACTCAGATCCCACCCCATCTAACATCCCATCATAGGTCATTGGGCATATTTACCGCTAATAGTCAAAGATCAATTAATTGCCAAAATTTGGCTATCCCATCATACCATCCCCTCCATAAACTTATCAAGCTTAATCTTGAAGCCAGATATGTCTTTTGCCCCCACTGCTCCCCTTGAAAGGCTGTTCCAGAACTTCACTCCTATGCTGATTAGAAACCTTCATCTAATTTCAAGTCTAAACTTCCTGATGGCCAGTTTATATGTTTGTTCTTGTGTTCACATTGGTACTGAGCTTAAATAATTCCTCTCCATCCCTGGTATTTATCCCTCTGATATATTTATAGAGAGCAATCATATCTCCCCTCAGCCTTCTTTTGGTTAGGCTAAACAAGCCAAGCTCTTTGAGTCTCCTTTCATAAGACAGGTTTTCCATTCCTCAGATCAACCTACTAGCCCTTCTCTGTACCTGTTCCAGTTTGAATTCATCCTTTTTAAACACGGAAGACCAGAACTGCACATAATATTCCAGATGAGGTCTTACCAGTGCCTTGTATAACGGTACTAACACCTCCTTATCTCTACTGGAAATACCTCACCTGATGCATCCCAAGACCGCATTAGCTTTCTTCACGGCTATATCACATTGGCGGCTCATAGTCATCCTATGATCAACCAATACTCCAAGGTCCTTCTCCTCCTCTCTTACTTCCAGCTGATGAGTCCCCAGTTTATAACAAAAAAATTTGTTGTTAATCCCTAAATGCATGACCTTGTACTTTGCACTATTAAATTTCATCCTATTACTATTAGTCCAGTTTACAAGGTCATCTAGATTCTTTTGTGTGATATCCCAGTCCTTCTCTGTATTGGCAATACCTCCCAGCTTTGTGTCATCCACAAACTTTATTAGCACACTCCCACTTTTTGTGCCAAGGTCAGTAATAAAAAGATTAAATAAGATTGGTCCCAAAACTGATCCCTGAGGAACTCCACGGGTAACCTCCCCCCAGCCTGACAGTTCACCTTTCATTATGACCCATTGTAGTCTGCCCTTTAACCAGTTCTTTATTCACCTTTCAATTTTCATATTGATCTCCATCTTTTCCAATGTAACTAATAATTCCCCATGTGGAACCATATCAAATGTGTTACTGAAATTGAGGTAAATTAGATCCACTGCATTTCCTTTGTCTAAAAAATCTGTTACCTTCTCAAAGAAGGAGATCAGGTTGGTTTGGCAAGATCTACCTTTTGTAAAACCATGTTGTATTTTGTCCCAGTTACCATTGACCTCAATGTCCTTAACTACTTTCTCCTTCAAATTTTTTTCCAAGACCTTGCATACTACAGATGTCAAACTAACAGGCCTGTAGTTGCCTGGATCGCTTTTTTTCCCTTTCTTAAAAATAGGAACTATGTTAGCAATTCTCCAGTCATACGATACAACCCCTGAGTTTACAGATTCGTTAAAAATTCTTGCTAATGGGCTTGCAATTTCATGTGCCAGTTCCTTTAATATTCTTGGATGAAGATTATCTGGGCCCCACAATTTAGTCCCATTAAGCTGTTCAAGTTTGGCTTCTACCTCGAATGTGGTAATATCTACCTCCATATCCTCATTCCCATTTATCATCCTGCCATTATCCCTAAGCTCCTCATTAGCCTCATTAGAGACTAAGTCCTGATTTTTGGGTCTTTTTTCTTATATAGGCTCCTATTACACCCCCACCCCGTCCCAATTTTTCACATTTGCTGTCTGGTCACCCTAGTTGTACCTTCCACCAGCAGAAACTGGTCCAATAAAAGATTACCTCACCTACCTTATCCCACACCAAGGAAAAGCCATAGACTTAACAGAAAGCAGTTCCTAGAGGCACTGTTTCTCATAAGAAAAATGACTGGACACCTCCGAAAGCAAAATAAAAATAATCCCTTTCAATGTGTTAAAGTGCACTTATTCCACAGAATAGCAAATTTAAAAAAAAATTAAGAAGGGATTAAATAAATACAAATCCCTGCACCAGAGCTATAGAAAAAAATTAATTACTTAGTAAATACCTCAGCTCTGGCACCTTTTAAAAAAAAAAACAAACAAACAAACCAAGAACCCCGTACAAAGAAATAACTTTTCTGAGAAACCCAAAATTGTCTCATAGAGTGAAAGGTTCACTTACACTCCAGCCTCATGTAGAAACTCACCCATGAACACAAGATGTACGTGCCACTTAAATTCCACTCAGGGACTATGTAAACCCTATATAAGTAGTATTTAAGTGGTGCATAGACCTGATAGTTCTTTGCACAGGGGTGAATTCAGTCCATAATGAAGAACCATTGCTGTGACAATTTAACTTTCTGCGGGACCCTTTTATAAATAGGCATATACTTTTGCTGCTCTCTCTCCAAACAACCTGTTTTTATCCAACAGCCACACTCATTGTTCCCATTTATGCGATTAGCCTGGGGTAGTTACCAGCATGGTATGTAGTCTAGTATTTTCTGTCTTCCACAGATTTTTTTTCCTGAGAATATTAAATACCCGGTGGTTCTTGGCTTTGTGTCTCATTTTTCCTCCCTTCCAAAAAATGGATAATGAGGTGTCAGGTAGCAAACACAGTGCATGTATTTACCATGGTTATTATGCAATATCATAATTATAATGTAACCAACTGGCTAGTTTGTATGTCAACTGAATTGTACTGGATGTAATCAGAACTGCTCAGCTGTACACCATAGATCCTATGTTGCCTACAGCTATGGGAATTTGTCCTTTATTTCAAGTAGTAAGAGGTCTTTACTTCTGGAAGAGGAGGCTCTGATGTCTATCCTAGTCACCAAGAAGTTCTAAATGCCCTGGAGTGTGAGCCATTGAATGGCCCTACTGTATATCATAGTGAAAACTATGTAGTCATAGCCATGGATTTGCTACAATATTTGTCAATATATTCTAGACTTTTGCTTGTTCTTAGTAAAAATAAGCCCAATTTTCTGATTACACAACAGAATGGAAACTTTTTACAGCAAATCAGAGAGCGGATTTTAGCATTTCACGACATGTGACATGAATCATGTTAAGAGGGAAAAGCATGCCACCCAATGCTTTTCTGACTGGGCATATCAGGGTTGGCGGTAGCAAACCTTTCACTCCCTGCTGTGCAGCCTACTTGCTACAACAACCTTAATTGCTCTTTCAGTCTAATGTCTCACTAACAATAATCATGACTTGCCAGAGCAGTTACATGACTTTGTGATATACAGGGCTCAATTATGGTTCTTATACATTTGAGCTCTGCTAGGTCACCAACCCCTTGAGCCCTCTCCCCAGTCTAGCACAGCTTTTGCAGCGAGAAGTACAACTTGGTCTATATTGGTTTATTTATTCCTTCTGATTATTAATTTACATACTCCCATTTCTCTGAAACCCTATTACCCAAAACTCCATATTATCTGAATTCCCTTCCTTGTCCCCCAGCATGGAGACACATTCTGCAGAGAGGAATATATCTCCATGCTGGGGGACAAGGAAGGGATTAGGATAATGTGGCAACTAGGATAATAAAGCAGAGACCTGGTCCTTGGCCAAGACTGCATGAAAAGGCCACCCTGCAGCTGAATGGCTCCTGCCCTCTCAATTGTCTGAATTCCTAATGATCCAAACAAAATTCTTGTCCCCCATGCTCTACTGTAAATACATCTGGTAGTACAACTTTTCTTTCCAGCTGCACAAAGAACTAGTCAGGAGGGTCTGACCTGTGATCTAGGCTGATGTAAGAGAGGACTATAACTCCTTTGAAGTCAGTGGTGTTACATGGGTGCAAAACTTGGGCAAGTCAAAATAGAATCAAGTCCTATGTCTAGTTGTAGACAAATATTGCTTAAAACGTAGATTACAAGCTCCATGGCTCAGGGACAGTCTTCTATGTCTGTAAAGCACCATGCATATTTATGTTATTACCACCAAATCTTTAGCTGGTATAAATTGGCATCACGCCATTGACTTCAATGGTACTAGACTGCTTCACACTAGTTGAGGATCTGGCCCAATAACTGTAACAAGTAATACACAGTGTATTTTTACTTATTATCAAAATTACTCCTTCCTTCACAAATTATTTCTCGTGATATTTCTCAGGTGGGCTGACTACAAGGAAAATGCATTTGGATAGAACAGACTGGTAATTCATGGGAAGACTGGAAACGCAAACATTGGCTTGCACAGTAATGACATTTTATTGTATGCATTTAAAATAACTAGAACTTTGTTTCATTTTTGTATCTCTTTCTCACGTTTTTATTATGTTCTTTATCTGTAACTATTTTACAACTTTTAAAGCTTATTTTTCTACCATCACATCCCCTTTTGCTTTCCTCGTTCAGTCTTTGCAAACAAAATCTAGTGAAACTTGCCTTTCACAGCCATGCAAGGGAGCAACAAAAATGGGTTGCTTAGCACAGACAGTCACTTATTAAAATTCTAGCAGAACTATACTCAGTAAGTTTGAGGAAACTTATGGAGAGTTTCTTAATACAGGAGATTATCAGGGAGCATATCCTTACCTGGTGTAAATGGTCACCCCTTCACTAAAGTCAACAGAGACACAACAGTTTATAATAGCTGAAGATTGGTCTCTGTAATTTATTGTGGGCAATGCAAGGCCCAATTTTTTAGTTCCTGAGTATCTCTTGTAATAGCTACATGAGGGGTGGATGGAAAACCATTGTGGTTCACAAAATAATATGAGGCTTCAAAATTTTTCTTCCTATAAAGCCAAGATCTTTTGAAGGCTTTCAAAGACTTCCTCTGGCATGGTGGTTGGGTAGTAGCCTGCAGTGTAAAAAAAACCTAGGTTCAAGTCCCTTCTCCCTAACAGAAGAACATTTCAGGGTGAATAAAACAGCTTTCTGTGATGAGATAATACTTAACCAGCTCTAATTCACATATGCTATTTCTGTAGAAGGATGGATCATCAATATAAAGTGCAGAGTTCTTTTCATCGGTGAGGGACTTTAGAATTTCAGTGCTATAAACCAATCGGAAATATTTTTTGCCTTTTTTTAGTAGTAATTCCCTCTTGGAAGGAGTTTGATTATCTAGTACACATCCTGGTAGTCACTGTTCAGAGTGTGCTCATAGTCTATATCCAGTGCTAGTTAACAATTGTGGCAAAGAATGTAAAGAAGCAGGGTTTCATTCATCGTAAATCGCAGGATAAAGAGTTTAAGCATATTCCTTAATACCATTCAATTTCCCATTAATCCAACCAGTCCTTGTGCATTAGCCACTAAGAGAGGCTGCCTCTTTGTGGCAGCATAACATATAGATAGGATATAGACTATATAAGGGAAATAATATGCAAAAAAGTTTGCACATTTGTAGTTCACTCTCTAATAACTCCAGGCCACATTGCATTTTGACTACTCCTTGGAGCAAATGCAAATACATCTGTCCTGCCATGCAGATGATCCATGAGAAAGAAGAGATTCTTTGTTACTAAGCCACAAAAGCAGAACGCTCATTGTAATTCCTTACCTACCCTGTAGTTTGTAAGGCTTTCTTGTGATCCCAAGTTATCACTACAGTATGGGGAGGGAGGGATAGCTCAGTGGTTTGAGCATTGGCCTGCTAAACCCAGGGTTGTGAGTTCAATCCTTGAGGGGGCCATTTAGGGCTCTGGGGCAAAAATTGGGGATTGGTCCTGCAGGGGTTGGACTAGATGACCTCCTGAGGTCCCTTCCAACCCTGATATTCTATGATTCTATGCAGCAAATCAATACTTCTTTGTGATGGTTTAGAGATCATTACAAGCAGAAGCTACAACACCAAATATTTATATAACTTTTTTAAATAAAACTATTTTGGCATTTAAAGTAGCAGGCTAAGGGGAGTTAATGGTTCAAGGGATTGTTATGGGATATTTTACATATATGTTAAATTTTAGCCCAGGTGAGTTGTGACCAAACTGACAGTTTAGTGAAATGCTATGCAGAAAGAATTGTGGTCTGGAATTAGTTCACATCACAAAATCACTATCATCATTGGCAGTCTGTGCAGAAACTATCAAACAGATATGAAGTCTAAACTTCCTTCTGATGTTTTCTCCAGGTCAGAATTGAGGTCCTTGGGCGGGGCGATGTGAGGAAAAGTGTGCTCCTGCTGCTAAATCTCTTATGTGAATAAAGATTTCAGATCCAAAGGCTGTCAATCTAATAACGTTTGTGAGCACTTTGTTCTCTTAAGTAGCCTATACTCTCCCTTTATTTAAGACTCAGTGCACGTGACAGGCACTGGCCTGAGCTAATGGCTTCAGCAACTGAATAAGAAAAAGTTTATTACAAATACATTTTGTTGACTGCATCAGAAACATGGTTGTTTTTAAAAAGTATGTAACAAACTGCTGCAGTAATATCATAATATGAGGTTCTACATGGGAAGATGCCATTCTTAACTTGCACAGCTCTTGCAGCGCTGTAACCCGTTCTCGTTGCAAGAGGTACACTTGAGGGCTTTGAAAGAGTCTGTAAAACAGTTCCGAAACACAGACATCTTGCTCCCACGGCACGCTGAGCACGGAAGGAAGCCAAAACCACCACAGGAAGGGCATTCATGGGGATGCTGCACTCTCTGCGCAAGGAAAAAGAAAGCAAGAGAGGAAAAGCGTTTCCATTAATGACTGTAATCTCTAGCAAAATGAGGATTCTGAGTTGGAATTCACTCTGCAATATCGTAGAATACCAGGGTTGGAAGTGACCTCAGAAGGTCATCTTGTCCAACCCCCTGCTCAAACCAGGGCCAATCCCCAATTTTATTTTATTGCCCCAGATCCCTAAATGCCCCCCTCAAGGATTGAACTCACAACCCTGGGTTTAGGAGGCCAATGCTCAAACCACTGAGCTATCTCTCCCATCCCCCCAATTCCTATTCTAGGAAACAGCAAAATCTGAACACTGAACTCGGTTTTTGTCGTCCTACTGCCATAGAATCTTGCTTTATCTGTCCTTTCAGGTGGTAAGAGCAGCATTCAGTGATCAACCAAGTTCATTACAAGTTGGTATATCTAACGTAATGCTTAAGGGTTTGTGTTTTCATTTGCCAAAAGAATTAGCCAGGTTCTAAATATTTTATTGTCTAGTTATGATCTATTAGATAACTTAACTGGCCTGTTCTAAATTCTGGGGTAAGAAACATGGTGTTTTGTGTTTATACTATATATGGTGCATATTATAATAGTATGACGTGTATAATTTTTCATGTTTATGTTTGAATTGTGTGATTCAGCATTTGACAATTGCTCATATCTTAAAATGATTCATACCCTCTAAGCAAGGCAGAGCTCTTTAAAAAACAGGTATATACAAATCTAAGTATTGAGGAGATTATCTTACGTTTTAATTGTAAACGATATATACCAGCCATGGGTCTGATTCTTCTCACATTTGTATAAATCAGGAGTAAATGCCTTTGAAATCAATAGTTACACTGGGAAAACTGGTGTGAGCAAGGAGAGAATAAGACTCAAATCTCTCAGTTGTTCCTGAATTGTTTTAATAATAATAAATTTGTTAGTCTCTAAGGTGCCACAAGTACTCCTTTTCTTTTTCCGAATACAGACTAACACGGCTGCTACTCTGAAACCTTTAATAATTCTGTCTTTATTTTCTTTTTCTTTATGATGCATTAAAGAGATTTAAGAAGCAGACTTAAATCTCTTTTGATGAAAACATCACCCTTAATTTAATGATCATCCTGGAGTTTTACTTGAGAGAAATGACATATAGCAAGTACTTACAGTAGCACAGGTGTGTGGGCTTTTTTAGAGCTGCTGTGTTGAGTGAAGGCTTTTAGGGTTCATTTACAGAAGAAAGGCAGTTATATATACAATCCCTGTTAGTATTTCCCAGAGGTATCATACTTAAATAATTAGTAAATTATGCTAAAATATGTACAGCGAACATACTGCTTTTTTGTAATTTCATCAAACGCAACAGAAGTGATGCAAAACTGTCCAAAAAAGTAGTTGTCTACTAGTAATGCAGATCAGTGTGCATAGCCACGTAAAAAGCGAAAGGATGAGGAAAGGCAGATCCGTAGCTGGTATAAGTCAGTACAGTTCCTTTGAAGTCAATGTCAGTTCATTTCAGTTGAGGATCTGGCCCAAGAATCTCTTAAATTCTTGTTTCCTAATGTATCTGATATGCTGCATGGAGCAGCATGAGATATGCCCCTGAAGCTGGGTGAGGGCAAGGGAGTGGTCCAGACCAATGACAGCATAAGCTTCCCAAATGTTGCACTGATAACATGGCAAGGTTGTAGAGGGGCATGATTAGTTTTATCTTGGGGCTCAACCTTCTAATGCTTGGAAAAGACTTGTGGAAAGCTTCTGTGCTTAAAATGTTTGCCGTATGTTTGATAGACGTGCTACATAAGTATACATGCAAAACTAGATAAATAAATCAGTGGTATGTAAAATGCCTACCTGATCCTGAGATATATAATCTCTACACAAAGCTGCAGAAAAAGATCTCAGCCAAAATGCTGTGGGAAAACATAACTTCCTGACCTCAATTTGGCCATTAGATCATCCCTCTGTGTGTGTGTGTGTGTGTAAGAATTATCATGCTGAAGAAGCCGATCCAGCATATACCAATGTTAGCCAAAGGCAAAGCGAGCTTTTGAATTCTTGTCAGGTATAGAAAGTCAAACTTAGAGGTAATGTGAAATCCCTCTTGTTTTTCCCTGCATCTCACAAAAGTGGCTTTTACCACTGTCTCATTCAGCAAGCAATTCCTATTTTTGATTAGTCTCTGTGGGGAAGTGTTTATAGCAAAGTTCATTTTTCATATCTAGCAATGCCCACATTTTCTGTGGCAGCTTATGATACTAAACTTTTTACTTATATGGATATTTTTGCAACTAACTCCAAAATTAAAAGAGAACCACATTCTTATAATTAAATTCCTAAAATTTCTATTTCTGGCATCATGTGAAAAAGCAATGGTGTGTCACCTAGCAACACTTAGTGAAGGGATGTAACTAGGGCTGTCAATTAATCAGAGTTAACTCATGCGATTAAATAAAAAACAATCACGATTAAAAAAAATCAATCATGATTAATCTCAGTATTAATCACACTGTTAAACAATAGAATACCAATTGACATTTATTAAATATTTTGGATGTTCTTTTACATTTTCAAATATATAGATTTCAATTACAACACAGAATACAGTGCTCACTTTAAATCATTTTGTTTACAAATATTTGCACTGTAAGAATGATAAACAAAAGAAATAGTATTTTTCCATTCAACTCATACAAGTATTGTAGTGCAATCTCTTTATTGTGAAAGCGCAACTTACAAATGTAGATTTTTTTTGTTACATAACTGCATTCAAAAACAAAACAATGTAAAACTTTAGAGCCTACAAGTCCACTCAGTCCTACTTCTTGTTCAGCCAATCGCTAAGAGAAACAAGTTTGTTTACATTTACAGGAGATAATGCTGCCCGCTTCTTATTTACAGTGTCACCTGAAAGTGAGAACAGACGTTCACATGGCACTTTTGCAGCCAGCATTACAAGGTATTTACTTGCCAGATATGCTAAACATTCATATGCCCCTTCATGCTTCAGCCACCATTCCAGAGGACATGCTTCCATGCTGATGATGATCATTTAAAAAAAAATGAGTTAATTAAATTTGTGACTGAACTCTTTGGGGGAGAATTGTATGTCTCCGGCTCTGTGTTATAGCATGTCTCAGATTATGACCCAGTATGTTGTTCATTTTAAAAACACTTCACTGCAGATTTGACAAAATGCAAAGAAGATACCAATGTGAGATTTCTAAAGATAGTACAGCACTCGACCCAAGGTTTAAGAATCTGAAGTGCCATCCAAAATCTGAGAGGGACGGGGTGTGGAGCATGGTTTCAGAAGTCTTAAAAGAGCAACACTCTGATGCATAAACTACAGAACCCGAACCACCATAAATGAAAATCAACCTTCTGCTGGTGGCATCTTGACTCAGATGATGAAAATGAGCATGTGCTGGTCTGCACTGCTTTAGATGGTTATTGAGCAGAACCCATCATCAGCATGGATGTATGTCTTCTGGAATGGTGGTTGAAGCATGGAGGGACATTTTTAAATGCAGTTATTTTTTGTACATAATTCTACATTTGTAAGTTCAACTTTCATGATAAAGAGATTGCACTACAGCACTTGTATTAAGTGAATTGAAAAATACTATTTCTTTTGTTTTTACAGTGCAAATATTTATAATAAAAAAATATAAAATGAGCACTGTAAACTTTGTATATTCTGTGTTGTAATTGAAATCAATATATTTGAAAAGGTGGAAAACACCCAGGGGTGAAAGTAAAGCCGAAGACTTACTGGTATGGGGGCCGGCTCTGGCCCTGGGAAGGGGCGGGCCCTCGGGGGGAAGGGGCGGGGCTGAGGGTCAGCGTCCCCCAGCCAGCCCATCTGCACTGCCTGGCCCACGCGGCCCGGGGCTCCAGCTGCCATTTAAAGGGCCCGGGGCTCTGGCCACTGCCACGGTAGCAGCAGTGGCAGCTGGAGCCCCGGGTGCTTTTAAATCGCCTTCGGCAGCCCAGGAGGGCAAAAGGGGCAACGACATTAAAGTGCTGCCACAGCAGCACTTTAAGCAGGGTCCTTTGCCATGGCAGTGCTTTAAGGACGCCCCCGTCAGCAGCCCTGTTGGTAGGAACCCAGCAGCATTGCCGATGGGGGGCACAAAAGGGGCAGCAACATTAAAGTCAGCTGGTTACTGGCCAGTACTGGAGGCCACCTTTTACTGGTATGCCGTACTGGCCCATACTGGCTTACTTCAAAGTACTTACCCCAAAATATTTATATAAATGGTATTCTATTATTGTTTAACAGCATGATTAATCACAATTAATTTTTTTAATCACTTGTCAGCTCTAGATGTAACCCTTTGAAAAAGTTGGATTTTGGGAGGGGAGGTCTAGCTTTGCCTTGAAAGAACTGAACTGGACTTGCTGAAAGACTGGACTGCATATAGTGAGTTCCTGTGTTCTGGATCTTCAGTGAAAATGAGTCATGACTGAACCTTATAGCTGATTTCCGGCAAAGCCAACTCTGTAATTTGTTTCATTCTAGACCATGAAAATAAACTGGTATTAACACATCAGTGGATGTACTCTGTGTACAGTTATGATCATAGTCTGCTCTAGCCTGCTATTTATTTTTTGTGCTTTAGTGGCACTTAATGGCCCCTACAAAGATCAGGACACCCATTGTGCTGGGTGCTGTACATACACATAGTAAGAGACTGAGGTTACATTCTAAGCAGATAGGACAGGCAAAGAGCGGGAGAAAAGAAGTATATCTGTTTTACTAATGGGGAAAGGAGAAACCAAGCTTGACTTGCAAGAAATCACACATGAACTCTGTGATAGAGCTGGGAATTAAACCCCTATCTCGTTGGTCCCAGACCAGGGCTTTAACCACCCATCCTTCTGGAGAAGGATGCTAGAGGCTCCGCCTACAAACACAGCTTAACTACATGTAAAGCTGTCTCACCGGCCAGTCCTTTTGAGCCCAGAGGTGGCCAGTGGATGGAGGAGTGAGGGGCATTCTGCTACCCTAACTGCTACTACTGCTAAGTTCCCTCAGGAACACCCATTTGTTGAGTGGAGATGGTTTGGTCTCTTTTTCAGTTGTACTGTGTTGGATGTTGCTTTTTGTTGTGTTCACCATTGTGTTTCTCTTCTATCAGGATCAAAGAATTTGCTATCTGATTAAATATCAGACTCTTATGCTGGATTTGTCCCAGCTCAAATCGTGGAGATTGCATAAATAGTTCTTACAGAGGATAAATGTCTTGGATCTTCTCCCTGTCAAATTCAAGTACAATGGATGTGGACTGTTGAGTTTGGCATAGTGGCAATCCTTTCTGATGGGGCTGGAATCTTTGCTGGTTTGTAACACTAAGTAGTTGTTGGTTTTGAAAAACAGGATTTGTGATCAGTTTAAAACAGAAAGAAAGGAAATACCTAGCAAATAATTTAATTTTAACAGCACAACTTCCATTTGTAGTTTCTCCAGAGAGTTTGTAAAAATACAATTACCTCAATTTTGGTTAAGAGATCCTGCAGCTCCCCTGATTCATTCATTGACAGAATTTTCTCAGCTCCCTATTAGCAAAAAGAAAAAACACAGCAGATTTACCATTGAGGGGACTGGAATTACCTGAGGGTTTACTCTTGGAAATGTAACTAGGTTGAAGAAAAGATTGAATTTTGTTCATGTGAAGTATTTTTGTTATGAGATGAACCTTAGGATGGCTGAAAGGTGAAAATAACCAACTCAAGTTCCTGAAAAGCTGTCCAGGGTTGGTTATTGAACTCTATATTGCATTTTTCTTGTGAATTCACCACAACTTAATTATAGGTTTCAGAGTAGCAGCCGTGTTAGTCTATATCCGCAAAAAGAACAGGAGTACTTGTGGCACCTTAGAGACTAACAAATGTATTAGAGCATAAGCTTTCATGGGCTACAGCCCACTTCATCGGGTGCATAGAATGGAACATATAGTAAGAAGATGTATATACATACAGAGAAGGTGAAAGTTGCCATACAAACTGTGAGAGGCTAATTCGTTAAGATGAGCTATTATCAGTAGGAGAAAAAAACCTTTGTAGTGACAATCAAGATGGTCAATTTAGACAGTTGACAAGAAGGTGTGAGGGTACTTAACTTAGGGAAATAGATTCAATATGTGTAATGACCCAGCCACTCCCAGTCTCTATTCAAACCCAAGTTAATGGTATCTAGGTTGCATATTAATTCAAGCTCAGCAGTTTCTCCTTGGAGTCTGTTTTTGAAGCTTTTCTGTTGCAAAATTGCCACCACCAGATACCATTAACTTGGGTTTGAATAGAGACTGGGAGTGGCTGGGTCATTACACATATTGAATCTATTTCCCCATGTTAAGTATCCTCACACCTTCTTGTCAACTGTCTAAATAGGCCATCTTGATTTTCACTACAAAAGTTTTTTTCTCCTGCTGATAAAAGCTCATTTTAACTAATTAGCCTCTCACAGTTTGTATGGCAACTTCCGATTTATCTGTATGTGTATATAATATATATATATATATATATATACACATATCTTCTTACTATATGTTCCATTCTATGCAACTTAATTATAGAGACTGTTTTCGCCTTATTTTACATTATGCACTTCCTGGCAGAATAGAAAATGTCTTATATGTCAAAAATACAATTATATAAATATACACTGCATCAGAGAATGTAGCTAAATGATATCGGGGAAACTGTATTTCAACTATTCTGGCAGGTGAGTATTGAATTCAGACATAACATTCCTAATAAGAGTGAGTAAGGACAATGAAAATTCTGTAACAACATTGAAGTCAAAACTCTGTAGTGAATAATAATAATGTAGCCCTAGTACATTAGGCCTTTGGAGATTTCAGTCATCTGAATCAGAGTAGTAATGAAATAGTTTCTCATTTTTCTTTCTGAAAGTAAATGTTCAGAGATTAGTACAAACAAAATGAACATGCCAAAGAAGATGTAAAACTTTTTATTTTCTGTTTTTTTTCTTTTTGCAACTAATTGAGGGTCCAATTTGAATGTTTTGCATTTAACTTATGTAGCTATGAGTGTCTTGAATAATAATACCTAGCTCTTACATAGAACTTAATCTGTAGTGCTCAAGGTGCTTTACAAAGTAGCTAAACCTCACTATTCCCATTTCACAGATGCGGAAACTGAAGCACAAGGCATTCAAGCAACTTTCCCAGAGTCACCCAGAAGGCAACTGGTGGCAGAGCCAGGAGTAGAATTCTGAGTCCCAGTCCAATTCTCTAGCTACTAGGCAACTCTGTCTCTCCTGCAGCTCAGTAGTTACTGTCATTGCACCAAATACAAAGTACTCTGGATAAGAGGCTTCTGTATGTGCATATCTGAACACACACTTAGTTCAACTGACAATATGTTGGAGTGTCACATACTGGTATCCTGTTCGCCATGGCCAAATGCTGCTTCTCCCCTACCTGCACCGTGCCCCACCTCCCTCCCCAAGTCCCCTATGGGGGCTGGGAAGGCCCTGAATGCAGACAAATATATGTTGTTCTACTGAACAGGGAGGCAGGCCATGTGCAGGCCAAACAGAGGGACTCAGTGCACACACCATGGGACTCTACTCCATGATACTGTTTCTATGGCAGCTGGGATGGGAGTGTGGTGAAAGATCAGCCCAGAGTAGGAGTCAGTGAGTGGCTGGTGGTTATGCCACTAGGTGAAAACACAGAACTGAAACCCTTGTGCATGGGAGTATACGGGTCCCCAATTATTTCTACAACCTATTAGTTGACTGGGACAACAGAGTGGAGGCACAGGTGTTCTACAGATCCTCAGATGGTATAAATTGTCATAGTTCCATTAAAGTAATTGGAGCTATGACAATTCTTACACCAGCTGAGGATCTGCTTGTATCTAGCATTGGGGAAGATTCCTCATGCCTGCCCGCCCAACTTAGATTCCCAGCATAAAGTTGTTTTGCTTTAACTTTTGCCGAGGAATGGCATTTTTTTTCTCTCTCAGGCAGACACACCAGATGCTGTGGGTAATTTCTCTGCTATAGCTATGGGCTGTTATTCAGCGACACAGTTTATAATTAAGTATTTTATCTCTTCAAATGACAACATACGAATATTTTAGCCAACACTTATTTAACAACGGATTGCTATTCCATTATTTCACATTTACAGGAATTGAAAAGGAGAGGCAATATATATCTGGCTGTGGTTAGTTACAGAAGCAAAGCTGACTGTGCACTCAACTCTGCCACCTTTGCTCATGGTGAGTAGTGCCTTCCTCCATGAGTTGTCCTATTGAAATCTACTACAGATTATGGGCTGATGGAATAGCTGCTTCAAAGACTGTTCCATGGCCCTCTGTGACACCTACACAGGGGCTTCTACGAGCCACTCCCACTACACCTTTAGCTTGAACGCACCACCCCTTCAGTTCAGTGGGATGACTGGGGGAGGGTGCTATTCAGTGTGGGTAAGACTGGCAAAATCTGACACATGAACATCCCAGTCACACAAGTGACTGTTGCTACAAAGCCAACATTTGCCAACAAATACAATAGTGTTTGCTGAGGCCTATCTATATGAGGTGGGAGGAGCTAAACTCATGAGTACACCAGTGCAAACCCCTGATATAAATGCACTGCACTGGTAGAAGACACAAGTTGCACTGCTGTGATTTACCATGCAATGTAGCAACATTTAAGGATTTACTATTCCACTGATGTAGATACATCAGTGCAAATTCCCTAAATCTAGACAAGCCCTGAGATGATTACAGTTTATTTCTATTTAGAATAGAAATATCTATTGGTGAAAACCATTTCCGTGGTTCCTATTTTATGCTACTTTGATACTGGATTGTAGTGTAAAGCTACTGTCACAACAGTATAATTCAAAATTTGACATGCTTTCCATTATGAACACAGGTTTGAAAGGGTTTATATTTCAGCTTGCATTCAGCTAAAACTTTATCATCCCAGCTGCAAACCAGAAATTCACATTACTGCATCTTTTTTTAATGGTACAGTAGTTAGCAATAGTTTTAAAGTCTTTAATATGCTTTTTTCTGATTAGTCTGAACTAGGGCTGTCGAATAATCACAGTTAACTCATGTGATTAACCCAAAATAAATTAATCATGCGAAACATTCACATGCCCCTTCGTGCTTCAGCCACCATTTCAGAGGACATGCTTCCATGCTGATGATGCTCATTTAAAAAAAAATGTGTTAATTAAATTTGTGAGTGAACTCCTTGAGGGAGAACTGTCTGTCTCCTGCTCTGTGTTTTACCTGCATTCTGCCATATATTTCATGTTATAGCAGTTTCAGATGATGACCCAGCATGTTGTTTGTTTTAAGAACAATTTCACTGCAAATTTGACGAAACGCAAAGGAGGTACCAATGTGAGATTTCTACAGATAGCTACAGCACTCGACCGAAGATTTAAGAATCTGAAGTGGCATCTACAATCTGAGAGGGACAGGGTGTGGAGCATGCTTTCAGAAGTCTTAAAAGAGCAACAGTCAGATGCGGAAACTAAAGAACCCGAACCACCAAAAAAGAAAATCAGCCTTCAGTAGGTTGCATCTGACTCCGATGATGAAAGTGAACATGCGTCAGTCTGCACTGCTTTGGATCATTATCAAGTGGAACCCATCATCAGCATGGACACATGTCATCTGGAATGGTGGTTGAAGTATGAAGGGACATATGAATCATTAGTGCATCTGGCATGTAAATATCTTGCAACACCAGCTACAACAGTGCCATGCAAACACCTGTTCTCACTTTCAGGTGACATTGTCAACAAGAAGCGGGCAGCATTATCTCCTGCAAATGTAAAAAACTTGTTTGTCTGTGCGATTGGCTGAACAAGAAGCAGGACTGAGTGGACTTATAGGCTCTAAAGTTTTACATTGTTTTATTTTTGAATGCAGTTATTTTTTGTACATAACTCTACATTTGTAAGTTCAACTTTCATGGTAAAGATATTGTACTACAGTACTTGTACTGAGTGAACTGAAAAATACTATTTCTTTTCTTTTAACACTACAAATATTTATAATAAATATAAAGTGAGCCCTGTACACTTTATATTCTGTGTTGTAATTGAAATCAGTATATTTAAAAATGTGGAAAACATCCAAAAATATTAATATAAATAGTATTCTATTATTGTTTAACAGTACGATTAAGCGCGGTTAATTTTTTTAGTTGCTTGACAGTTCTATTCTGAACTAAAAATGAAATGTAAGAATATTTTACAAGGAGCTAATCTATATTGTGGACCTGGGACTCTAAGAATAAAAATTAAGGCTCCATTGTTTAGGTCAGCTACTGTGTTATCATGATAGCTGCTTTTCATAACATCTGTATCAATGACACAGGCTATGGGCTAGATTATGCCCTGCACTTATGCAGCTGCACTGGGGTGGTAAGAAGTAAGTATTCTGCCCCTTCTGAGGCCAACATAAGGGCTATCCATAATTACAGCTCTAGTACTCAGGGTAGCACACAGACACAGTTCCTGATGGACACAGGCATAGACTACTCCCCTGTATGCATG